GGGCATATACGTTGGTATGGCCATTTCCAAAATGGTCTGGTAAATGACCTAGTAAAGCTGAGCACATGCATACACTCTGACCTGCCAGTTCCGCTCCTAGGTATACATACATGCAAATATACAAGTACATGTGCATGTATGTGTTCACCAAAGACTGATGGTAGCACTGTGTATAACAATCAAAAATTAGAAGGAAGGCCTACCAACAAGAGAATGGATGTCAATAATGTGTTTGTACAGAAGAATGCTTTGTAGCAATTAAAATGAGCAAATAATAGCGAGTAGATCTTACAAATGTAAGAACAAGTGTTGAGAAAATAATTCAGACATGAAAGGATATGTTATTCTATGGTCCATTTAAATAAAGCAGTCCCAAGGGATCACTGGTGCTCGAAGTCAGGAGGGTATGTGCAGTGTACTGAAGAGTTAACACATCAGAAACTTGTACTGTAAGAATACAACTGTAACCAAAGTGGCCCAGTTTTGTAGAAAACGTCAGTTTGTATCTTGTGTGTCTTTTCTTTAGCACTACAGGTATGTATACTAGAAATATTTGTAATTCATTTTATGACCCTTGATTATCTCAGTTTAGCATAAGTTCGGTGGTTAAAAGACGTTTATTGCCCAGGTTGAAAACTAAGACTGGATGAAGCGTCACCCTAGAAGAGGCATGGGGACTATTAACACATTGTCTTTACATTTTACTTAGACCTGTGCAGTATAGTAAAATTAAGTTTCATAGTAATCAACATGAGAAGTATGTATCATGTGCAAAAAGATGTTTTACTTTTCTTTCACCTTAGAGCCCGAACTTTAGTAGCAGGCAGAAAAGCATGCAGATTAGATTTCATTCTTTGGGTTCTATTAACATGTTGACACAAAGGGCCCCGAACCTAAATATTAGTACTGAAAAATGTAAAGTTTCAGAAAAGTTGATGGTCAAAGAGAAGAAAATATTAGATCAACCACTTGTGGTGTCACTTTTTTCAATGTAAGAACATCAAATACCTTTTCTTTAGCTTGTTTTGTTTATAAACTACCATGTTGGCTTGTATTGAGGAAATACTTCCATACACATGGGTTCTTTGTAGCCATGTTTAAAATACAGACATTTGTAAATAATCTGCAGGATCTGCAGCTGGCAGCAAACAGCCTTACAGGCATGTAGCTTTCCCTTCTAGTAAGTTTTGAGTACATGGGTTTACCTTCAATTACCAATTTAGTGAGAATTCAATTATGACTTGCTAAAATATTCTTTTAAAAATAAAATCTTCAGTCCAAATAGTTTCAGTGAAAAAACTGTTCTTTTTCGTTTCTTTGTCTCTGTCTTCTTCCTTGTTCACTGAAAATCTTTACATTTTATTTTAAAGAAAGAGGACATAAAATCTCTCACTTTTTTAATGCTTGTCAGAAATATGTATCTCTGCATTACTAATATATTGTTGAACAAACACACGATGGGTCAATAGAAGTAGTACAAGAAGGGCCTTGTAAGACTTTCTCTTTTGTTTTGGGTCAGAGTGACAGCCTTTAAGACACTGTACATTGCACTTGCATTTGATCATTTCAGTATACTTTTTCCTTAATGGATAGGAAATTAAAATAATAACAGTTGTAATTTGTATCCATGTTTTCCTAGTAGAATAATTACAACTGCATATCACGAAAGTGAGATAAAAGCATAAAGACATCAAATTTATGTTATTCAGAAAAATGTAGGTTTTTTTTTTTTTTTAAGGAAAATAGATCCTAAGGGCATTTTCTTTCTTACTTTTTAAAAAATTAATCATTTTATTGGGAGCTCTTACAGATAACAACATTCCTTCGTTCAGTCACATCAAGAAGTAATGTGCAGTTGCTATCACCATCAGCTTCACACCTTTTTCTATCTTCTTAAACTCCTTGACATCAGATCCCCTGTATCCTTCCCCCACCATACCACCCAGGAACCCTTAATACTTTTATTATATATTTTTGTTTGTTTTTGTTTTGCCATATCTTACACAATCCAATATATCCATTCACTTACGATTCTGTTGTGCAATCCCATTGAGTGGGGGTTATGCAGTCATCAGTGTTACTTACCCGCTCCCTATCTCCCCCCATCTTCTTGTACCCTCAGGAAACCATTACTCCTGTTACTGTTTTTGAAGGGTTATCTATCTTGGCTTTCATGTACCAAATCTGACTTATATAAATGTACTTATGGAAATCTAACATGAATAATAAAGTAAAAATGAATAAAAACCATATTAGTAAGGGGAGGAAATATTAAAGAACTAGAGGGTAGTTATGTGGTTCATACTACACTCTGGCTTTATCATCAGTAAGGGTATTTTCTTAAAAACTTTTTTCTGCCTCCGGATGTCAATAGCTAGAATTGCCATTTGGCAGAGAAAATGATCTGTAGTTATTTAAAGTGTTATTTCTGTTTTCACAGACAACAAATGAGGTTGTTTTGGCTGTGGAATTCCATCCAACTGATGCAAATACCATAATAACATGTGGCAAATCTCATATTTTTTTTTGGACCTGGAGTGGCAATTCACTCACAAGAAAACAAGGAATTTTTGGGGTAAGAATCACAATGTTATAACTTCAAGAATGTGAAACTTCAATTTTTTTATCGTTGAGCGGTAAAATCATCACACTAAAAGGGAAAACTAAAACTTTGTTTCATTGTAGAAATATGAAAAACCAAAATTTGTGCAGTGCTTAGCCTTTTTGGGAAATGGAGATGTTCTTACGGGAGACTCAGGTGGAATCATACTTATATGGAGTAAAACTACTGTTGAGCCCACACCTGGCAAGGGGCCTAAAGGTATTGTATGCTCGTATTAAAGTTGTTCCTTCTAATTTCAGAGTGCTACAGTTTCATCTGCGTGGAGTAATACGAGAATGTGAGACTCATCAACATCTAGCATGCCTTTTGATTGTAGGGTTCTTCACAGAGATCTTTATTTTATTTATTATATATTACTTATCTAGTTACTTATTAAGCATAGCCTGTGTCCACACTGAACCAAGTAAGATCTTTCCTTCAGCAAAGTGATCATAATATAATTAAAGAAGATATGGACATATGTTAATTAATGGAGAGGACATCCTGATCTCTAGTTTTTATAAGCTTTAACAGAAGAGATGGCTTTTAAGCTAAGCCATAATGAATGTACAAGACTGCAGTAGATATGGAACTTTGATTCAACTTTTGGGGGAAAAAACAAAAAATAAATGTCATCCGAAATATTAAGAATATATTCGGCATACAAAAATGTTGACAGAAATAAGAGAGGATAGCCTACTTGAGGGAAATACGATTTTTTTTTCATTACAATGTTTTATATCTAAAATTCCTCTTATATATACTAAGCTATTGAAAATTCCCAAAAGGATCAAAGCTAGAACTTTGCTGAGTCATCTGCAAGAATTCTTAAAGCTGAGTGAGGCTGTGGAAGAAAGGAGACCTCCAGGGACTTGGGTCCCTCTGACTGTGACCACGGTGACCAGAAAAGAGCTTAGAAAGAAACGTTAATAGGAGAGAATTCTTTATTTGGAGCCACTGAACAATTGAGTTTCTAGAAGTAAAGTGTTAGGAAGGTCCAGAAAAAGAAGACAAAAGGAAGATCATCAGTTTGGGTAGTTTTTAAATTCAATAGAACATTCAGGCCCGGGGTCAGACAAGGATAGAATGGCCACTTTGAAATGGGGAATTTTGAAACCCAAAATTGAAAAATAGAATGGGAAGCTAAGAGTTGGCAGAGCTAGTCCGTGGTCTTCTCAAGGCTATCTAAACCCTGAAAGTACAATAGGAAGAGCCCATGGAAAGACAAGTAAAAGAGTGAATGAGTTGAGCATCAAAGATAAGGTAGTCCTTGCAAAAAGTAATAGCCTACATTGAATTCTTAGCCTAGAACTTAAGAGGGCTGAGGTACTCTCTTGGTAAAGGCTGAATATCATTGCTCCCAGTAAAAGCAACATCTGTTAAGAAAGATTTATTCTTTATAGAACAATAGTAATACAGAATTGATGCATTCAGATTGTGGTGTTTCAAAAAATAATGTGGACTAATGAAAGAATGAATAATCTTAGTAAAAAAGATATCCAGCACTTACACAGTATGGCCAGCAACATTAGCTAGCACTTGCTCTACTCTCTGTAACGAGGAAATGGCAGACTACAAGAGACTGAACTGTATCTGCCTCTATTTTCAACAGACTCATGTTCAACTTTCACTCACAAAAAAAAAAGCCGAGAAAATGTTATTGATCCTTTTTTTAAAAAAGTTATATAAAATTATAGGGGAAAAAGGAACCCGAACTTTAAACACAGCTGGAACAGTCTGCAGCGGGGAGAAGTGATTTAACTTAGTTGCTTTTCTGTGGATGGTGGTTGTTCGCTAGTCTCACGGTGATGGAGGCTGCAGTTTCTCGAAGGAACTGAGAAGCTGCTGGAGGTTTGGTTCTCCCGGCAGCAGCCTGACACAAACCGAGGGTCTGGGGATCTTCGCACCATCCCGAGATCCGAGTGGGACAGGCTTTTGAAGGATGTGCGATGTTCCGTCACAAGTGTGGCAGAAACTGGCAAGCAGGAAGCTTATGTACTCAGTGAGAGCAGCACGTGTGTCCCCCAGAGACGGTTCATTTTGAAGACGTGGTTCCCCCCTTACTGAAAGCACTGGTTCCCCTGTTGAAGCTTGCTAGGCACTACAGTGGGTTTGACGCCAGTCAAAGCTTCTTTTATTCTCGTAAGAATTTCATGAAGCCTTGTCACCAAGAGTACCCACACCGGAATGTCCAGGAAGAAATAGAGTTTCTTAATGCAATGTTCCCAAATGGAGCAACGTATTGCATGGGATGTATGAATGCTGACTGTTGGTACTTATATACTCTGGATTTCCCAGAGAGCCGAGTCATCAGCCAGCCAGATCAAACCCTGAACATTCTGATGTGTGAGTTTGACCCACCAGTTATGGACCAGTTCTCCATGAAAATGGTTTCCTGCAAAGGATGTCATTCGTGAGAGTGGAATTTGTGACCTGATACCAGGTTATGTCATTGATGCTACACTGTGCAATCCTTGTGGGTATTCAGTGAATGGAATGAAATCGGATGGAACTTATTGGACTATTCACATCACTCCAAAACCGGAATGTTCTTATGTTAGCTTTGAAACAAACTTAAGTCAGACCTATGATGACCTGATCAAGAAAGTTGTGGAAGTCTTCAAGCCAGGAAAATTTGTGACCACCCTGTTTGTAAATCTGAGTTCTAAATGTCGCACCGTGCTTTCTTCACCTCAGAAGATTTAAGGTTTAGACATCTTGATTGCCAGAGTGCTATGTTCAATGATGACAACTTTGTTTTTACCAGTTTGCCAAGGAGCAACAGCAGCAGAGTCGATAAAGAAATATAAAGACAAAATGCAAAGAGAACACACATAGAAGGTGGTGGCTGCTTTCTAGATACTGTCGGGGCCGTGCTTTCCATAGCCACCACCGTGTAGTTGCAGAAAGCCCTAGATGTAAGCATAGGGTTGTCATTTTGAATTGTATGCCTTATTATATCAGTGAGTTAGATGAATGCTCTCTTCTGTGTTTAGGTATTCTTTGCCACTCTTGCTGTGAAATTGAAGTGCATTTGGAAAAAAAATCTTTTACTGTATGAAACTACAATTGTGAGAACAGTTCAATTTGGTTTATGCACAGTATAATATTTCTCCAGGTATCACCCAAAACTCCCCACAGACAAGGCTTTCGTCCTCATTAGGTGTTGGCCTCAGCCAGACCACCTGGGACTGTTGTGTCAATCGCTGCCAGAAGTGCACATCGGGTTACCTCTGTTCTAGAACACTCTCTCTCTGAATGACTGTTACTGAAACCAGTTTCTACTTCATACAGATTTTGTTTTGCAACAGCTACTAAATTTTTCTTTTAAAAAAAAAATAATAAAAAGATAGCCAGAGTGTCCTTTAAAAGTGAGGATGGCAAGACTGTGGCTTGCTTCCTTTGGACATGTCACCAGGAAAGACCAATCCTTAGAAAAGGACGTCAGAGTTGGTCAAGTGGAGGCTTGGTGAAGACCGGGGAAATGCTCAGTGAGGTGGATTGACATGCTCTCAGAAGTGGCACAGGGCTAGTTAATGTTTCGTTCTGATGCGCATATGGTAACCATGAATCGCCTCATGGACATCTAACAACAATTGTTAGACATCACATCATCAGAATCCAGGTGACTTCAGAATTGTTAATAGTTAGGGTTGCGATCTAGCTCCAACCTTTGATATGGCTACTGAAATTGGAATTATGCTAGTAAATGAATAGAAAGCCAACCCAAAAAGCCACTGCCCTTGAGTGGATTCTTATCCATAGTGGCCCTGTGGATAGGAGTTTCCAAGGCTGTAAATAAGTCTTTATGGGAGCAAATAGCTTCATCTTTCTCCAGCCAAACAGCTTGTGGCTTTGAACCCTTAACCTGTTTCTAGTCCAAGATTTACCCAATGGGGCCATTAGGGCACCTTTTATAAAAGGCAAAGACCCACAAATGTGGGGACATTCGTTCCTAATAGGATTAAAATCACCCTTTCAACTCCACTAAGCATATGTCCAAGATCCTTTCATCGCAGATATTGAATCTGCTCTTTTCCCAACAAAGTTAACACTTAGAGGGTTGGTTTTCCCTGGGTGTGCCATGGAGAAGTCCGAGGCAGAGTGGATAGCACGTGCTAGAATGGGAGAGGAGGGGAAAGAAGAACAAACTCAAATGCAGTCTCGATCGTTATCCTTTCTCCCTACGCTCACGTTCCCAGCCTTAGCACCAGACCTTAGTGATCATTCAGTGTATCCTAAATAAAGCGCAGGGGTTTTCTCAGGAATTTCTTCCTGAGGAGGCTCAGCTTCATTCCATACACAGGTCTACCTTGCTTGCCCTTATCTTTGAAAGATGAAAAAATCAGAGGGAGAGCATTGTTAAACCCTCTTTTTCTGTACTTTTTAAGAACAATATAACTTTGGGGGGAATGTCCAGAGTACTGTGATTTTTCTTCAAAGTAGAAGGTTCTTAGAGAAAAAGAGAAGGGGATGATGCAGAACCAACCTGGAGATTGAGCAGCACATTCAAATTGTTTCCAACCCCCCTCACCCTACACACACCCAAATAAGCCCTCCTGTCTGCCTTTGTGGAGTGCCTGCATCAGGCCGTGGAAGTCGCCCTCAGTGATTTACGAGTAAGGAAATCCTGTCCCTTGCCCCAAAGGAAAAGCCTTATTTACATGTCAGACTTCCTCAATAGACTTCCCCGGGATGAGCACAGTGTTTGTTATTTGGTACTGACGGTTTGAAAATTACTTGTTTAACGTGTTATTAAGGAAATGACCTTAGAGATCTCACCTTTGGGTCTTTGTGTAGCACTGTTTTCACTAAAATGTGGAATTTAAATGTAGCATCATAGTTATTTTATGATTGTGTCGATTCTAATACTGAAATTTTTAGGAGCTACACTAGATCGCATAGTGCTTCCCTAATCCCGCTGAATGTCTAGGTTTAGCAGTTGAATTGAATAAGTATTCAGAAGTTAAAAAAAAAAAATTCTTTAATTGTAGTACCATCATTTCTGGTCCAAGACTTACTCAGTTCTTGGCCATGTATTTTGGTCTCTGTCATTAGGTGTAGGTTCAGAACTTGCCTATGCAAAAGATGGTGGTGGGTTGAGATTTTTTCGGGGGGAGAAAGGAAATTTAAAACAAGAAGAAAAATGTGTGGTCAGCAACATCTCTCCCTTTCCCGTTTCTCTTAGCTGGGCCCATATGTTCAGTGTCAGAAACGCCGGGCACAACATAGGATCTCAGAACAGTGGCTAGTAAGTTATGGACATAGCATGACACCGAGCAGTATTGGGGTGTAATTGTACTCTTCATTAGCCTTATGGTTTGTGGTGAGTTGGGAGGAGAAGAAAGAGTCAGAGATTGTCTTTATTTTGGTTTCTATCTGAAAAACTGTGGCTTTGCTTCTGTGCAGAGAAAATCCGTATATAGCCCAAACAGGAAACAAGCAGAACCTTTTAAACTGCTAATCGCGTGAAATGGTCTGTTACCCTCAGCTGTACAGCAGCCCTGTTAAGGGCAAACTTGCTGAGAACTTTGTTTTTTCTGCTCGGGGTGTACGTTCTGTAAGTACGACTGGGAAGCATCTGGTTGGTGAGTACAAAGAGAAATGTGCAAACCCAGAGCAGAAAAGATACCCTAACATCGCATTTTTAAACGCTTGCCTGCCAAGAATTTCAGTGCATCTTCTCAAGTGTGACCTTTTTACATCTAAGGCTGTTTTATCAACCAGATTTTGAACACACGATGGTATCATGTCTGAGAAAAGGATATTTTTTGACGGTAGCAATATAATTCCAAACCTAGTCTTGTTACTTAGCAAAGAGGAAACAAATCAAAACTGTTTCATGTCTCCTAAATGTAAAGGAACCAAAATATCCAAATAATTATTTTCTTCTGTTTAAAGAGGGGGTGCTTATTATTTTATTTTCTATGTAGTTCAAACTTTTTAATGTATTAAAAATGCATAATATTTTAGATTGAGTGGAAAAACTTGAGTCACAAAGATGCCATTAAAATAGTCACCATTCAAAAAAAAAAAATAGTCACCATTCTTAAGCCTGCCACGTTTCTCTAAGGAACAAACTGGCACCAACATTTTACGTGCTCTTCACATAATTAGCATGGACCCATTTGCTCAGACTGTAACATAAATTTCAAAGTCTCTCGCATTTAATTATATAGTTAAGCAGGCCTAGAAAGCCTTGCAATTTTTTTTTTCATTTTGCAAGACAAGCTATACTTGCTTTATATAGTAACTGGGTTTCAGTTGGAGATGAAAAGGGGGGATTTGCAATTAAGCGTGGGTGGACTTCACCATAATTAAGCCTGGAGGTACAATAAGCTTTTAAATTCAAGGGTAATTATTTTTCTTGGCAAACATTTCAAACATTGTTTGACTTACACTGGAATGCCAGTAGTACAAGTCCCTCAGAGAGAAATCTTTGACTATAAATCTACTTTCTAGGTAAATACTATCTTAAAAAAAACACTGATTTATTTAAAGTTGAAGCATAGAATTCTTTAGCTAAATTACTATCAGGCTCTCTGTATGAGAAAACTTTCTGGGCGGTGGGATCTGGGCGTAGGAAATCTCACTAAGTTGATCATTAATTTTTTTAAAAAAAATCATTATTTTGGGGGCTTGTACAACTCAACAATCCATACATACATCCTTTGTGTCAAGCACATTTATACATTTGTTGCCCTCATCATTCTCAAAACATTTGCTTTCTACTTGAGCTGTTGGTAGCAGCTTCTCATTTTTTCCCGTCCCTCCCTGCCCCCCTCCCTCATGAACCCTTAATAATTCTTAAATTATAAATATTTTGTCTTGTCTCACACTGTCCGACGTGAGGTTTCTGACAACAGCCATCCCTCTATCAACACTGATTCCTTACAGAGGCCTCTCAGAACTTAGAACTCAAGATTATTGGGTTTAAGAGGGAAGTGTCAAGGACTATAGCTTGTCTCTGTTAAAGCAAAAAAAATTATTGTAGCAATAGAACAACTCAAAAACAGGGTAGCACTTAGGATCCACCAAATCCTCCAATATTCTGAGGTGAAAAAGAGCTTTCTGCGTGCATGACGATCATCATGAGGATTCGGAAGAACACGTGTTGTTAGAAGGCAGTAACAGCAGGTTGAGGTGTTACACAGTTAGTTGATGTATTTCCTGACGGAAGAGGCCTTGGAGCCAGTTTAATGATGTAAAGGGATAAGTCAAAGTATTGCTGCTAGTAACCCAGTTCATACGTGCACAAGTTTATTCCAAACAAAACATGGTTAAACAGGTCTCCTGATCAGTGTTCGGTTGTAGATAAGTGTTTTCTCAGGAGTACGCTTGTCTTAGTCTCCTCAGCATGACTTCAAAATAAGGTTGCTTTTGTGCTATAGGGGAACGTGTACTTGATGGGGGGACGGGCTGGGGACTGCCTTGAGGTCAAGGCAAATATTCTCATTTTCAGCAAAACTCGGTGAACATTTTCTCAAATCATTGAAGCTTTGCAGTAAGTTTATAGGAATCCAGCTTCCACAAAATAAGTTTTGCTTTTAATAGTTTTAGTGGCATATACTTTGCATACCACAAATTTTAATCAGTCATATTAAGATTTGCACAGTCATCACCATAAAATCAATTTCAGAACATTTTCTTCTTGTACTCCTTGTTGTTAGCTCCTCATTTCTCCCTATCATCCCCTGCCATGGCCCTGGGCAATTATCAATCTAGTTACTGTCTCTAAAGATATCCTATCCTGGATTTCATATACAGAAAACCATACAAAACACGTGACTTAAACAAACAAAAATCCCCCAAACAATGACTAGACAAAACAGGAAAGCCTCAATCAAAAAGAATGCAGAAAGTATTAAAAATTGAAACAACTTTAAAATTGTTCCAAAGGGAGATCAAGTGATAGGTTACTATTACATTTTAACTTAACTATATCTGCCATAAAGGACTTTACACTGCTCGCGGGCGCGCGCGCTCTCTCTCTCTCTCTCCCCCGCCCCTCCCCTCTCCCCTCTCCCTCTGGTCAGAGAGGATTCACAGGAGACTTTGATCCATGTGGGGACCCAGCTAATGGATTTTGGGACTCCACTGCCATCCATAACCTTTTGCAAACCGGGTGTTCACAATTTAAGCTCTGGTACCATTCCCTCCTTCAGATTTGGGTTTTATTGTTTATAATCCTTGGATCATATAGGCTGGTGTGCTTTTTCTGTGTGGACTTAGTTGACCCCTCTCATAGATGACTGCTTGTTTGAAGACAAGCCTTTAAGACAAGACCCCAGACACTCTTCTTTCTGGTAGCTTGACCAAAGTGGGGGATGGGGCCAAACTTTACGGTAACATTCACTATTGCAGAGCCAGCCTAACAGATTAATACAAAATAATGGGAGGGTGCATTAAATTAGTGAATATATGGTATTCTTGGCCACCGTTCATTGATCACCTTCAAAGCAAGAAATCTGAACCAAAATTCAATGACCCCTAATCCATCACCTGGGCATCGCAGCCTTTTGCTTCTCATATTAGGGGATTTCAACCTTAAGACCATGGGAATATGTCGGTCCTTAGGTTTTAAATAAGTATTGTTATGCATTTTTTTCCTGATGGAAGATTGTTCCTCTTAGTTTACCCACCAACAGAAATGCAATCACTTCCAACTGAGACACACACACCTTCTTCCCCACCTACCCCCGTCTTGACTTGAATTTCCAGTAAGTTGTGCTACCACTCTTATAATTTGGGGTGAGCTTACCATAATGTTGGGGGTTTTTGTTCTCATTTTCTGTATTTGTCTTAAGTCTTGAACTTCAATAACTGTCTTTCACATGATTTGGTGAAATTGGATTTTTGACTGTTGAGTCAGATGAGCCTTTTGATTACTCACTTCGTATTTCTGTTAACATTTTCTTCCGAGAGACACTAAAGTCTGATGGAAAATATCATCACTTGCGTGTTTATTTTTTGTACTTTTGAAATTAGGTGTCTATCAAATCAGCAAGCAAATCAAAGCTCACGATGGCAGTGTGTTCACACTGTGTCAGATGAGGAATGGGATGTTGTTAACCGGAGGAGGGAAGGACAGGAAAATCATTCTGTGGGATCACGATCTGAACCCCGAGCGAGAAATAGAGGTAAGGATGGGATGGGAACAGAAATGTAAATACAGTTAGCCCACCTGAAAGCAACTTCCACTTTTCTGGGAGGAGATACAGTCCCGAAATATATATCCATATAACGCTAAGATCCAGCAGACAGTCTTTTAAGTACTGTATCCAAACCTAAGGAGCCCTGGTGGTGTAGCAGATTGTGGGTTGACAACCACAAGGTCAACAATTCAAACCTACCAGCTGCTCCAATGGAGAGATGAGGTTTTTCTGGCCCCCTAAAGATTTACAGCCTTAGAAACTCAAGGGAGCCAGCCAGTCACACTGTCGTGTGGAGTTACTTTGAGTCAGAATGGAACGAAGTCGAAGCTGCCCCATCGTGTTTTCTTGGCTGCACTCTCGCTAAAGCAGACGGTTAGGTCCTTAACCTGCCGTCCACTGGGCAGGTTTGAACTGACCATCTTTTACCTAGCAGCTAAGTCCGTAGTCACTTGTGTCACCAGGACTGCCTAACTGTTACTTGCTCAGGGGAGGTTTGCTGATTGAATTGAGTTCTCAGAAGGTGAAATGATTAAGATTCTTCCTTTACACCAGTGGTTCTTAAAACAAGCAAACCTTGTATTTTTGCGTGTGAGTTTCTGTGCAGTGTTTTTTCTATGCACAATGTGCTTCTCAGGCAAATATTTTCTGGGAAGAGGGTCCTGATAGTACTTACCTTGGACTTTACTTCCAAGTAAATGGAAAATAATGGGTTGCTTTATTATGACTTAAGTTCATAGTAGAAATTCCAGTTCCTTTACTGTTTCTTTTCTTCACAACATTTTCTAGCTAGCCACATGATCTAGTTCAAACCTTCCTTTGCCATTTCTGACGTAAATTTAGGGTATTCTATAAATCATGTCTTGGTGCTTTTAGGGATCATTTGGGATCTAATTTCACGAGTGAGAAATAATTACATTATTTTAGAACGAGCCATTCTTTAGGCTCACTGTCATATCAATCTAACATGCACCAAGTGTATATACCATGGATGAAAACAGATGAATGAGCTTCATTTCCCAAGGAGTCATGCTAGTGACAGTTACACTTTACAGTGTGTGTTTTTTATTGTTTAGTTGTCATAAAAGTTTCAAATTTTTATTTTTTGTCCTTAAGAATAGTCAGAAGTAAATAGAGGTTATTTTTTTTATTACCTGCATACTACAAATAAAGAAATTTGCCTGAGCTTAAACGAGTTACCCAAAGTAACAAATAGTAACAAAACCAGACCACATTCTTTACTTGATCTCATAGATCATTAATTCTTGTTTCCCTACTCCTAACCCTTTTATCTTAAAACTATATGAAAAATAAAATTTTAAATTGATAGAAGCAAAGTATTGAAAATTTTTATAAGTTCCGTTTAATAACAATTATCTGAGCATGGATTCAAAATAAATTAGAGTTGATTGAAGATTACTGCATTGTTTTACCGTGCTTAATAGGGTAGAAGGTCGGCGAAAAGCAGAAGACAAGATGCACTGGCACAGTGGCTGCAACAATGGGCTCCAAGAGAACAAATGTGTGGGTGGTGCACAACCAGACTGTGTTGTGTCGTGTTGTGTTGTGTTGTGTTGTGTTGTGTTGTGTTGTGTTGGACATAGGGTTGCTGTGAGTTGGAACTGACTTGACCTTACCTAGTAATAACAACAACAATATGAGTTTATGATCTGGATTATAAACTGTCATCTATTGCTTCGCAGTTGCTTACAGAGAAGTGTCTGTGTGGTGGTCACAATTCTATAAAGTTTGGTAACTGATAGGTTGGAGGTTCAACTCCATCCAGAAATTCTTGAAGAAAGACCTGGTGATCTAATTCCAGAATCTCAGCCCCTGGAGCACAGCTCTACTGTGACACACACGGGGTCTCCAGGAGTCAGAACTGGCTCAACAGCAACTGGTATAATGGCTTACAGATGTTAAACGAGTGTGCAGGTCATCATCGGTGCTTCCTGATGGCTGTCTAGGTAGCCAAGGGAGGGTGCAGCTGCAGGCAGTGTTTCATTCTGTTTTCTGTCGGGTCAGTGAGTCAGAACGGACTCCAAGACAACCAGCAGCAGCGACAATGATATATGGTGGATTTACAGATGTGTTGCTTTCTAGGTTCCTGATCAGTATGGAACAATCAGAGCTGTAGCAGAAGGAGAAGCAGATCAATTTTTAGTAGGCACATCGCGGAACTTTATTTTACGGGGAACCTTTAATGATGGCTTCCAAATAGAAGTACAGGTGAGCTGTGTGATTTTAATTATTAACGCAGTGTTTTTGATGGTGCCTTTTGTCTCTTAACAACTACAGGTGTGTTTCCTTTTCAGGGTCACACGGATGAGCTCTGGGGTCTTGCCACACATCCCTTCAAAGATCTGCTCCTGACTTGTGCCCAGGACAGGCAGGTGTGCCTGTGGGACTCGGTGGAGCACAGGCTGGAGTGGAGCAGACTCCTGGATGTGAGTGCAGCAGATGCGAAGGGGAGCCCCACTGAACACTCCCTAAACTGGTAGTCAGGAGCAGCAAAGGAAAATAGATTCAGCCTTGATTTAACTACACATTTTAATGTGGATCTCTTTAGTTATGGGGTGGGAGGGAGGAGGAAGTGTCTAGTCTCAAAGTGTGTGGTGCAAACCCATTTTAAAGAAATAGTCACAGGGTGAAAGCTCAGGTTTTCTCAGTGTCAGTAAATAACTTCACACTCATGCAGTTCTCAATGCTACGGCCTCTGTTGGTGGTGCAGTTGCATTAGTCCGAGCTGCTCACTAACAGATGCTAGTTCCTGTCTGCCTTGTGAGTCGGGCTCTTACTGTGTTCTCTCCTGTCCCGCCCCCAGAGCACCTGTTCTAGCCCAGAGGTGTGTGTGAGCTCTTTTTAGACTCTACAAAGGGCTGTTTGTTGTTATTATCCTTATTATTGTTCCACCGCCTCACCATAAGGTTGTCCTTTCGCCTCCCTCTCTGCTAGCGTATTGCTAATATTCCCTTCCTGCTCTGATGTTCTCTTCCTCTGATCTCCATGTGCTATTTACCACTGGCTACAGTAATGATTGAAATTTCTCGGTTATACAAAACCCATTATTGTCACATGTTTTTGCCACTATTCCCATAGATCTCGGGAGACTTTCTGATGGACTCCCCAACAGCTGTCTGTCTCTCTTCTAGGAACCAGGACACTGTGCAGATTTTCATCCAAGTGGCACAGTGGTGGCCATAGGAACGCACTCAGGCAGGTAGGGTCTTGAAGGGAAACGTACGTGAGCTGAGTCATCTGAAGTGGTGGGATGTTGAAACTGTTACTTAGGCATATTCTCAATCTGGTCTGGAGAATTCTCTCTCCTAAGTGGCACGCTGATGTGCTTGCGGCTCTAGTCTGTCATATGGACTCAGCCAGTCAGTAGTTATTTATTAAGCTCCTACTGTCGTGAGCATTCAGGATACTTAGGGAACAAAATGAAAATTCTTGCCCTTGCTGATTTTATATTTTAGTGGGGGTGGGGGGGTGAGGAGACAGATTTAAAAATACATTCTAATAACTGATAATAAGCTGTGGAGGGAGGGGCAGTAGAGTTTAGGATTGGGCGGGAGGTGCAGATTAACAGGGTGGTTGGCATAGACCTATTGAGAAGGTAATAATTAGAGACTTGACACTTGTGAAATTAAGGAAATACCAGAAAATTTTATAATGTTTTATGTAGTGAAGAGAATTGATGTTAAATATAACCCAACTGAGCTTTTTGTGTAGTTGTTTATGCTGTAGCTTTTGTCGTCCATTCCTTTTCGAATGCTACTCAGATGGATATTTAATGGTGTATTTTCTGATATCCTTATTAATGGCCTGTCCTGTAGCCTTCTCATGAGTTACCTTGCCAAGATTATTCAGTAATGTGTATTTAGAGTGTTGACGCCTATGTATTGCCTCTGCTAGTTAGTAGCTTTCATCACACACAAAAACTTAGTTTCATTTTTAAGGAATCGGGAATATTACAAAATCAGTTTTTCCAAAAGTTAAACCCTACAGAAAGTGTGGAATGTTAATATATAATGGAGAAAAACTATGGGGGACATCCTTTTCTGAATTTTTTTAAAAAAACATGTCTTTAATGTTTTAAATCGTCGAATATATTTAATTAAACAGCACATGCACACACAATTTGCTCATTTGGGGGGTTTTGCAATACGTTTTTTCCTTTAGCTGATGGGGCAAAAATTAACCCCTCTGGTATGTCAAAAATATGCAAATTCTTTCTCATATGTAGTGCTTTCAAAATATTTCAGAATCAGGGAAACAACTTCGAATGTTTGACTGGATATGCAATTTGAGCAGTTTTGAACTATCTAGATTTTAGAATTTGCCTAAGAGAGCATTTGATTATCATTTACTATTGCATATCATTTAATATTTCAGACTTCTCCAAAACTGTAATGGTAGACACAGTAATAAACAACTTGTGCTGGAGTGCTGATCACGTCAGGCTTGACAAAAATCACATAGGTCCTTGTAATTGCAGGCCAACTATGGCAGCTGACCAGATCTCACCAATGCAAAGGTCATTGTACTCATAAGAGCAGCCATGTATTGAGCATCTGATGTCAGTCTTTTATTTGCAGTGTTTCTAATCTTAGCAAGACCCCAACCAAATGTTTGTTCACATCTCTGTTCCACAGAGAGGAAACCAAGATCCACAGAGTGTCAGTCATTTATAATGGAAGGCAAGATTCTCTGCAGTTCCAAAGCCTCTCTGTGACTCATTACTACTCCTTAAGAAATGCTTTATGATGTTGATGGCATTACTTGAAATGTTTTAAGGCAGGCTTATCGTTTAAGATTTAATCTTTGGCTGCTTTATTTTAATAGCATGCACTATAGTGGTGGTATACACTGAGCGACCTGCTAGAGGGGTTTGTCCACAATTTGGTTGGATAGATATAGATGCAAGGGCGTATGCATACATACACAGGGCTCTAATGTTTAATGGAAAACTGATCAGATTTAAACTCAATTAGTTACTTTCTAATGTGGCAGACTCCTCATTAACAAACTTAAAAATGAAGCCCATTTTTACTCTTGAGAGTTGTAACTGGAAAATACTTTTTAAGTGAGAGTTATGGAACAGCTAATGAGAGGTGACTGGTGTAAAGTCAGGAATTGCATAGCATTTAGAGAAGATGTGCTTGTCGGTGTAAACTCGACCTTTGGTTCGATATCTGGTTCAGTTGTGTTTTTCTTGGAGAGCTTTCTCACTTGTTTTTATTTTGGTCATGGGTCAGCAAATACCTGGTTCTGTTGTCTAGTGTTGGGAACTATCAGAGGCCTGAGAAAAGTCATGCCTAAGGCAAAATTTTTATTTTTAATTCTGTATAAAGCAACACATGTCTGAATTGTGTTTGGTCCAGATAATAGTAACTAGCAAAAGTTTAAACTTGACTTCATGTCCATATCTAGAATTCTTCTTATAACCAAGAGGTAAGCATGGAGCGAATGGTTATTTTTAAATTATGTATGTTAAATACATTTCTTTAGAAAAGGACATTATGTTTGGTGAGGATCCTTGAAAACAAGGGAACCAGTAATGAAATGGATTGAGAGAAGAGCCACCAAAAATTCTCGGTCATAGCAGCAGTCACGAAGGTGGCACAGCTCTTAGTATATACAGGTGTCCTGAGGGAGAGCCGGCTTCACAGCAAAAAGAATTTTGTTAGCACACTAATCGTCACATACTAAGGATTTTTAAGAATAGCTTATTGAGATGTACTTCCCATATCATACAATTCATTTAAAGCGTGCTATTTTACATTCTGTGGTGGTCATTATGGCCGTAAGGTTGAGTTAACATCATCACAATCTTGCATCGCCCTAAATTTTACCACATTTTCATCACCCTAGAAAGAAAATCTATGCTCATTAGCTGTTACTCTCCACCCTCCCATCACGATCCCATCATTCCCCACCCAGCCCTCGCCAGCTAATCTTTGGATTTGCTTATTCTGGACATTTCATGTAAAGAAAAACATAATGTGATCTTTGTGAACAGCCCCACTCAGCATATTGATTTCAGGGTTTGTCTATGGCAGCGATTCTCAACCTGTGGGTTATGCATGACCCTTTTGGGGATCAAACAACCCTTTCACAGGGGTTGCCCGATTCATAACAGTAGCAAAATTTCAGTGATGAAGTAGCAACGAAAATATGATTGGGGGGGAATAAAGACTGTTAAAAAAAAGAAAAAGAAAATATAGTTGGGGGTCACGAGGAACTGTTTTAAAGGGTCACGGCATTGGGAAGGTTGAGAACACTGGACTGTGGCATAGCATCTACTGGTTAGTACTCCATTTCTTTTTGTTGCCATCGTAACCAGTTGGTTGACATTGGCATTGTTTACCCTTTCTAGCTCCTAAGTAATGCTGCTATGAACATTTGTATACAAAGTTTTGGTGGGTGGTTTTTATTTTTGTGTGTGGGATCTGGGTGAAAGTTTACACAGAGCAAATTGGCTTTCTGTTCAACAATGTGGGCCTGTTTTGTTTTGGGACAGTGATGACAGTTACTCACCATGGAACAGCATTCTGCCTCTGCCCACTTCTTCCATGAGTTTGCCATTTCCCTTGTCCTTCTCTCCTGTCCCTTCCTGCCTTCTGAGCTTTGTCCCTGGACAGTTGTTACCCTTTAGGTCTCCTGTGCCTGCTTATTCCAGGGCAGTAGTTCTCAACCTTCCTAATGCCGCGACCCTTTAATACAGTTCCTTTAATACGTGATAGAATGTCTTTGTGGACTGTGTTATGACAGTTGACCTTGACATAGCTCAAGACTATGGTCCTGAGCCCCCCAGGTCCAGTGACTCATTTCCTCAAGGTGTTTGGTTATGGCTAAGGAGTTTTCATAAACAGACTTGCAGTATTCCCGTATACATTTGTGGCACATAGAAATATAGAAATACATGTCTTAAGGTAGAACGGCCAGGTGTTTTAGTAACTTCTCAACCTTTTGAGGAACTGCCCAATTGTGTCCCAAAGCAACTGCCTCATTTTACAATCCTACCAGCTGGACATGAGGCTGCTGAATCTCTGCCTGCTCACCGGCACTTGTTACCGTTTGTGTTTTGATGAAAGTCATCCTTGTGAGTGTGATTTCTTAATTTGCATTTCCTGGGTTAATAATACTGAGCCTTTCTCCCCCACCCCGCCCCATGTGCTTTGTTTATCTTTGAAGAAGTGCTGTTTAAGTCTTTCACCCATTTTGCGTTTTTCCTGGATTGTGGGGTTATTCCCATATTCTGCAATGAAGCCTGTCAGTTTGAGGTCAAGGTTGCTATATTTTCCTGAATCTCACAAATTTTCAGTCTTTGACCATTAAAAATGTTTGAATGTTCCTGTGGATAGATTTTTGCATTATGAAGACTTTACTATACGTACAAATCCCTCTCAGGTATATGATCATAAATGTTTTCTCTCATTTTTACTTTCTTGGTGGTATCAGCACAACACGAAAGTTCCCTTTTTGATGGTGTTGCTTTTTGTTATTTCTTTTGTCAGCTTAGCTAAGAAACTCGCTATCTTAGAGATTTATTCTTAGGCTCTGTGTTGTCATTAAGAGTGTTGAAATTCTCGTGTATATAGATCTCTAGCCCATTTTAACTTTCTTTTATAGCTGTGAGGTAGGGGTTCAACCTCTTTTTTTTTTTTGCACACACACATCTAATTGCCCCATTTTTTTTGAAAAGGCTATTCTTTTCCCTGTTGGACTGTCTTAACATCCTTGTCAAAAATCAACATGCCGTACATGCCCATATGATATATATGGACTTATATTTGACCTGTCATTGTTCCAGCTGATCAGTATGTCTGACCTTATGCCAGTACCAGACCTGATTACTGTAGCTTTGCTGACAGTCTTGACAACAGGAAGTGTGTGAGTCCTCCAACCTTGTTCTTCAGTATTGATTTTTGCTATTCTAATCTCTTGATTCCACATGAATTTTAAGAGAATTTGTGGATTTCTATAAAGAAGGCAGCTGGAATTCTGAGAGGGAATTCTATTGAATCTATAAACAGTTTGGGGAATGTTACTATTTTAATATTACCTTTCTAAATTCTTGAACATGGGGTGTTTTCCCTTTTATTTATATACTCAATTTCTTTAACAGTGTCTTGGAGTTTTCAGAGTACATCTTACACTGAGTAAACACACAAATTATTCTCTTTGATCCTACTGCCTACTGCTGCCTTAGGTGCT